ATCAACTACCTGGCACTCTAGTAATTTATTTATACATTTCCATCACACCAAAAGAAGATTCTATCTTTATACATGCAGTGGTTTGGACAGACCTGAACTACTGTCAAAGTAACGATTTACTTCTTCTCTTTAAAATTAATTTTCTATTCCTTTAGTGCTAATTTCCTGATTCCCTATTTGTATATTGAAATACCGAGTGACAGCAAAATGCAATAAATGAAAAAGAAAAATGTATCCCAGCAATGATTGCATATGTTATCTGCTTCATCTACCTGGATTACAAAAACACAGGGAATGATGGGTGCTTTTCCAAAGCAGTACACAGGAATTAGATGTGCTGCCGCCATTACTGTAAATGGACTGTGTTATCCCACATACAGCTAGAAAAACTAACTCTTGATAGCAGTATCTAATGCCATCATTTCTCTATAAATAAAGATGGCCAACTACTTATACACACCAATGTATGTACAGAGCAATGCTTCTGAATTGCTCTGGGAGCAGACTGTACACCCAGATGTTTTCCAAACAGATTTCTTTCTCAAAGCTTGAGACAAGATTTCCTACAATGAGAGAATATGTTCAGATGGGAACACTGATATTTAAATAAAATTATAAAGATGCATTAAGAAATAAACCTAATAATAATCAAGAGGTTGCTGCTGCTTCTGTTGAAGTTAATGGATACTCTCCCATGCTATTCAAGAGGAACAAGATGAGAGTAGCTCACATAGTCTGATGCAAAGAACTGATATTTGATAGAAAGTTGTCAAATTTTCATTTTTTTAACTAGCTATTTGGAAATAGTAAGTAGTGAGAAATCAAATGAAAGGAAACAGCTAGGGATGAATTTTTGAAGTGGCACATGGGGGCCAAGCAGTACCTTACAAATTTGGCCTTTTGGTTTTCTTTTGAAAATCCATGCACATTTTGCCAACTGAAAAATATCCAATTTCATGTGTTTTGTGTGAATTTACACTGTAGCAGCACGCTTCCCTGAAAATTCTGTGTGCCCTTGCCATGCCCAGCCCAGGGCAAGCAGAACTTTCATGGCAATACAGGATGAGACTGGGACAAACCATGCTGGGTCAGTCTGGGAGCTCAAACTGATAGAAGGATCTGTCTTGCCTATCTTCTCTGTGACATCTGCCTCCTGTGGGCTTCCATTTGGAGAGAAAGATATATTTCTGATTTGATTAAGGTAGAGATAAGAACTGAATGTACAAGAACCTTGAGGTGAGCAGAACAAAACCAAAGATGTGAGCAGGACTTGCTGTACAGTGACAACAGCACTGGAATAATCTTGAAGAGATGAAACTAGGATGGGATAAATAAGGAGACCTGGGCAAGTAAGTGAGGGTAAGAGAAAGGACAGGGGTAGAAAGATGACGGAGCTTAGAACAGGACCCAGTTTATCTTTCTCTTCCATCTGACCAGTATTTGGCTAGCAGAGTATTCTGAACCTTTACAGTACAGCCACTTCCCAAGCATTGTGAACTCCCAAAACATAAAAATTTATACACAGTCTTTATGAAACAGCAAAATACACTATTCATATTTTACACAATGATGTATTTTGGCTTTTGTTTTAATTATTTATCTAACCTTACATGTAAGTAAAATTAGAGCATCTAGAAATTAAGAAGAAAATCTTGCTGAAGAGTCACTATGCAAACCCCTGGACTGTGTCACCTTCACAGCAGCATAGTGAAACCAACAGAAAAAGACTGATTCTATACTTAGTAAAAGATCTAACATGGAAATCTACCAGTTACTTCTCACTATCATTTGCAAAGCAAGTCTGTTTTCACCCTATGGCTTCAACCCTTTGGATTTCATGTATTTTTCTTTTTTTTATATGTTCATATTGTGAAGTCCTTCATTTTAACATGTATTTGTTTGCCCACTTTCACTTCTTTTCCTGTGCCTCACTTCACCAGCAGTTTTCACTGCTTTCATTTGGAAGGATTTGTACAAGAGTGGTCTTATGCCCCTGGTAGACAGTTGACGGGGATATCTGGATTGAGACAGATTGTGCCTTCCAGACTCACTTCCTTAGGACTAAACCCAACTTCCTTGCATAACATATTCACATTTATCCTATAAGAACCCTAAACCACAGTCTAAGATGCTGGCCTCTCTCTGTGACATTTCCATGTTGTTGTTCTTGTCAGCTTAATTTCAACAATGCTAAAACAAAACTTCAGTGCTCTCTTGCTACTTCTTTCCTCAATTATTGGTACTATTGCCACTCTGCCTGTCAGTCAAGCCCATAACCTCAAAGGTCTTTTTTCATGTAGACTACTCTCCAGGATAACATAACCAGTTTATGTGCATGTCTTCTTCACTCTTTTTGAACAGTAGGTTTCAAGTAGTATTTTCCTATTGCTGCATAGATAAAAAGCTAAGGTAGTGTCTCCAAATTTTCCATTTCACTGCAATAAACATCTCTTTCTTGGGTTTAACTAATCCAGTCTTTCTGGAATGTTACTGTTAGGATTGTTCTCCTACTCCGTTGTTTTGACCCACTTACTCTACTTGGCATCTCACAGTTGATTCTAGCACATAAAACGAAAGCTGCCTGTCTGCTATCAAGATGCTTCACAGCTCAGTTCCATTCTACCTATTATCTCTTATTCTTTACAGATGTCATCCCTCATTTTTGATCGGCCAAGGATGCCCATCTCCTCATTTAATTTATTAGATTTCCAAACAAGTAATTTTACTTACTTTTGATCAGTTCCTACAAACATTTATATTGCTCTTTGAAACCGACCTCATTCTGACAAAGGTTTTGCTCTGCAAAAGTCCTTTGCTAGCTGGTCCCTGCAGTTCAGGTGAGAATGTGTGGCTGTCAGAGGTACTTATCTCCAGGATCTGGCACTTGATAATACTGGCATCTGCAGTGGCTCCCACAGCCTAGCAGAGACACATTGGGGTGCTGAACTCCCTTGAACATATTCTGGAATGACCTGTGCATGATGCCTTTTTATTTTGAGAGAAATAACCTAGCCCAGAATTGTTCGTTTCACCAGGAACAACCACAAACTGCTGGACAACAGGCTAAAAAGTGTATTTTATGTAGGTCGTCAACAGGTTATCAAAGAACTAAACAAGAGACCTCATCTATCATATTAGAAGGTCGTACAGACTACAAACATCCAAATACAATAAAGAACAGAAGATAGTAACTTGTAGAAAAGTTGAGTCTGATATACTGCGTACCTAAGTAAGCAAATAAATATAAAGAAAGCTGTGTCTTGTACTTACTTAGATTTGTGCTCTAAGAATCTGACCCTCCTGATTTTTGTCTAGTCAGTAGTGCACAACACTAGATTTGTTATTTGTCATGCTCCTAGCATGAGACATACAGGCTTGAATCTAGTCCATGATTTAAAGTCACGGCATTTACCAGGATACAAACTGGAGGAAGTCTCTGCATGGGTCAGTTAATACCAGCTAATTGGTAAGTGGCCAAGCCCAGAAATGATGTGTACAAAAATACTACAATATTTTTAGGATCATATACTTACTATGAAACAGAAAGGAAAGAAGTGAATTTTCCTTGGTGAATTATAATCACCCATTTGGTACTGAAACAAAGCTAAATTTTATATAAACATAGATTTTACTTTTTATTTCCTTGGATAAATTTGCAGCGAAAGTACTATGTAGTAAGTGAGCTGAAACTATCCCAGAGAAACATTGCTGCCTTACCTTTGGCATGAGCTATCATCCCTGTTCTTCCCCTTTTAAAAGAGTTTTTTATTAAACTTAAGATTCATGTTTCTATAATGGAGTTACTGCTTCTTTTGTCTTTGTATCACCTTTCCTGGGCTGAGAGGAACAATGATCTGAATATTAATTTTTAGAAGTATTTATTTTGGAAGCAGTGGTAGCTGAATTTACCTGCTCTCTGCCCAGTGAAAAATTATTTTGAAATTGGATCAGTTCCCTAATGTAATTCAGCATATGAATGCACAAAGAGTTATGCCAGTACTATAGAGCAGGAAGGCAGTGCCAGAAACTAGGGACCTGAGTGGAAACTGTTTAAGAAAGCAAGCACCCAAGAAATGTGTATGGATCCACTGCCTCAGCCTCTGATTTTCACATCACACAACCATAGTTTTATATTCTTGCAGTCATTTATGTTTATGCAAAATTAATGTGAAAGACTATCTGACTGGATAGCAGTGTTTTAGACCTTACTGTCAGAATTGGAAATGAGCACCAGAGCTACATGGGAGTGTGGAATCAGAGCTTTGGCAATGTAGTTTGATAATACATGGCACGCACAGACAATAGCAGTCTAAACAATATTACTGTCTTCCCTTAGTGATTTTCTAAAGCTGATTCAATCCAGTAGCTGCATCAGCACAAGTCAGGGTGGCACTGAGGACAAAGTGATGGGAAGAGGTGACAGACTACGGTCAGGAAAGGCTGGGAACCGCTTCAGCCAGTATAGCTACCTATGGGCAAATCTTGGCCTGGTTACTTGCAGCATTAGATTAAAATCAAGTAGTTGATTTACTGGCACTTGCCTTCCGTCCCACTATTCTGATGGTCACTTATGTCCTCAGAGCAAGAATACCTGATCCTGTGAGTCAGCTTCTGAACTGCATTTGTACATTCAAATGGGTGCTGCTGACAGAAACTTCTATTTGGAAGGAGGGAAGGAGATAGGAAACTACAAAACAGCTTAGTAAGAAGTACCACTTCTTCCCTACCACTTCTTCCCTACCACTGACAGATCCATTTTAGAAAGTTCTTGCTTTCCTGTTTTTTGTTGCTACTCAAGCAGTTTTTCAATCCCTCTGATCTTTACTTCCTTGTTTTCTGGTGATAACCATAAGAAATTTGGACTGTACTCATGAATGAAAAACATCACTGTAAGAAAAATCTATGAAAGTTACTACATGTTAGAAAACAGGTATCTTTATATTTAAAATCACATAGTAAACCAAAGTAAGCTATGTAAAATAAACTGAAACTTACTATACCTTCAACATCTTAGCTGATTCATTCAAGAAATCCTCCACGCTCTGATTTTCAGGGTTAAATTTGTTAAGCTGTTGGACTATTATTGCAATATGTTTTCCATGGCTGACCATCTTCACCATGGAGAATCCTATAAATATAGCAAATAATTAATTTTTCATGCCTCCTTCGGTTGTAGCATAATGTATGTTGATAGGCTCATAGAGAAGATATACTGCAGCAATGTAGAAGAGAACATTTAGGTCAAGCTTTCAAAATCACAGTTACTCAGAACAGCTATCAGGAGAAATGAAAATATAGTACAAACATCAATAAAACAGATGACATAATTATATATTTCTTATTCTGCAAATGTCTCAAAAGATCCTTAGGATGATACCTAAAATGCTTTCTGTGTCAGGTTATTTGACGAAAAATCATTAAAGTGATACTAGAGAAAAGCATGAATTTTTGCACATGTGCTACACAGGTCCTATTTAATGCATTGCTCTTCCCAGTGAGTTGCAACTGAAAGCTAAATTTGAGTCTTAAATCTTATCACATGTTGCTATTAACAGCCTATTTTTCCAAAAGAACAAAAGAATAAGAACAGAGAGGAATTATAAGCAAGCAGTGAGACAGTGTTGGTCAGCAAGCCAGGCAGCGATCACAACACATCTGTTAGTCCAGGCCACCATCAAGGTTTTTGAAGGCACAGCAGTTGGTCACTTTTTACGCTTGATGCTTTGTTTGTGAAATGATGGGTTTACATCTATCTCACATGATGTCTTACTCATATACATAAGAGTTTGCAGAACTGGCTACCTCAATTTTAACATTAACATGACAAGAACTAGAATGCATTTGTTTATACATGTGCACATGTTGTATATGAAAGACCAATGACAGCAATGATCAGGGCTGAAAGTCATTAATCTGGTTTAGCAATGGGAAAAAATGAGCACAGAAGTAATTTTCCACAGTGAAAATAAAAACAAATTTTTGAAAATCATTCTTGTATTTTATATATCATATTGTGATGTTAGAAAAGACTGCTTGATCAAGATGATTCATTCCCACTGTGGTAAAGATAATTAATTTATTTTAAAAGGATATAATAACATTTCCAAATACAGTATTTTTATACTCTGCCTTTCAGCACTGCCATATTCAATAATAATGGCCTAAACCGCACTTTTAATTATTAATCTCAGACCGCTGAAAAAAAGAGTCTGTCTGTGATTATGTTCAATACAGGCATTTAGTTACCTGGTATGATCAAGGCAAAATGTCCAATTAAAAAAAACCAAAAAACAGTCCAGCAAAACAGGGCTGGATCATGACAAGGGATGGCAAATAAAAAGAGAGGGCTGCTGTGTCTCTGTCACAGGGGGAATCACCATTTCTCCACTCCTCTGAGAATCATGATCTGTTTCTCTGCACCTGCCAAGGTTCTTACACGCACAAGGGATATTCGATAAGAGAGAAATATCCCTGTACTCATTCAGGCTGAATCATAATTCAGGCTCCAACAGGTCTACCAGTGACAAATATTTTTTTCTTCTTGCGTAGTATAAGTAAGTTCGAGCTCTCATGCTGTGTACATGCTGATATTCAGCCCTCCCCTCCAAATAACGATCATTAAAACCAAAAACTGGAATATGCAAACTAAGACATAAAGTAATGCTTTGAGAGCTCTGGACATATAGGGGTTCTTAAGAGAAAGAACTTCACTTGTGATTGTATTTAAACAAATTGCTAATATTAACAACAATGCTTTGAAACACACATATCAGGAATAAAATGCTTTGCGTTATGACATGCACCCTTATTTCCACACAGCTATTTAGAAGAAAATCCTGATTGCTATGCATAAAAATGATATAAACTTATACTATGTACAAAATGGTAGAAATTTTCTTCTGCTATCAGATGTAGAATTTCAGTTAAAAGAGGTAAGAACCTGACTTAGCCTTCTTTTACAGTGGAGCTTGGAGATATTTTGAAAGCAATTACATAGGATAAGACTGGCCACAATAGCAGAGATGGTTTTAATGACTTGAAAGATTCATTTAGGTTTTACATTTGCTCCTATGTTCCTAGACTAGAAAGCCTGCGATTGCATGTCTTCTGATGAAAGCTGTCCTTAAAAAGAGGGCTGAACTAAGCCTCGCTGCAAAATTCCATCAGTTCAAGCAGGTACTGCTCAAAATGGAATAGGTGTTTCTCTCAGCTGTGCACTAGAAGACCACGCACTGAATACAGAGGACAGTTGTCCCAGTGGTTACATCCAGCCATTCTGGTTTAGTCTGGATCAGTGACTGTCACCTGAGCATAGCAGGGAGCAGTTCTGGGCACAGATCCTCTTTTCAGCAGATTTCTTCCCTAAGGCAGCAGAGCACCAGATGGAAAATGTTCACCCTTGAGCACCTATAGCCTAGATCTTACGTTTATTTTTAATTTGCATATATTTCTATGTTTTGTGTACCTACAACTATTTTAATTGACACAGTATTCTTTTATCTAGTATCTTGTGGAACTTTACAATTCAATATTCATTGCACGAAACCTTTTGCAAATAAGTTGTACCATATTTAAGAGATAAGTAAGCCAAAGGACACCAAGGCTGGCTGCTCGCCCGAAATCACAACAGTTGTTGAAAACTCTGGGAGCAGTGCCCAACGATTCTGTCTACAGTATAACACGGGCCCCGTTGGTCTTTTCTATTGTATGTATGAACACATAACAAACGAGTGAAGTAGTTATAAGCCTGCCCGGGGCACCTGACACTTTCACGCATTAGGCATTTTACCCATTTTTGTTTCCGGCGGTGTCATACAGGGCTACAAGCTCCCTGCAGCGCGCTGACACCCCAGGGCGCGCGGCGCCGCCTGAGGTTAACCACGCGAGCGCGCAGCGGCCCCTCCGCCCGGCGCTGCCCGGCCCGTACCTGACCGTCCCCTCTCTCA